CCTGCTAAGCGCGCTGGTCTGTGCCTTTGATTACGCAATTAATCTTTTGAGCACTAAAATCCGCTTTGGTCGGACCATTCCAAAGTTCATCAGCAAAATAATCTACACAGATTCACTTGTGTTCCTACTTCTAGTCTGCAGTGCACAGAGTCCTACGCAAGTTTGTTTGTTCGAAAATTATAAAGTCTGCAGTTTATAAATCAGAGAAAATTAGGCTACTGTTTCAAAAACGAATCTCAATATAACCGCTTACCAAAGTAGACTGGCTTATTGCAAGCGGGACAGTTTGGCATGGGATGATACTGGATTTGCTATGTCTCCAACCTTAATAAAAAAATACCCTAATCACGACAGGTTTGAGCAGAAAAATGTCAAAGCGAATTCGGAACATAAAGCATGTAAACACTAGACAAGAACGTATTTGATCCGAATTCTTAAACCAGCAGAAGGAATAGTTGAGGGCAAGAGCGGTGATGGAAGGCAATTTAACATATGGGAGGCTTAGGAAAAAGACCGTCTAGACAAGCGTCGAAAAAAATAGGGACAATTGCCAGCAATACTCTCGATCAGGTGAAGCAAGAAGCAAATGTAAACTTTATGAGAGAGATCATAACAGAAAGCAGCCCAGTAAGTGGAGATGATTTCTCCTGCTTAACGGTTTCCTTTAAATATGACAGATTTATCATAGACGTGTAAATATATCACATCCAATTATTTGGACTCAAAATTCCAAGGTCAACCCTCGCTGGCAGAGAGTCTCAATGACAAAACCGGTAAGAAAGAAATCATTGTGGTCGACTGCGAGAGAACGGGGGGCGCGGCAGCGAATGACTCATGTATGGCATTAATACGTTGCACGAGCACACGTTATCAAAACATAAGCCTTCTTTGTGAATCAATGATTTGAATGGCTTTTTCGGTTATCACATAAGCGATGAGATTATGGCGCACATTCGGTTCAATGACAGAAGCACATCATTTGTCAGGGTCAAAAGGGCGCACAATCAAATAGTTCTAGCAATGAAATGGTAAAGCCGTTAAACATTATATATCAAAGAAATGCAGATACCTCCTACAAACGACGGGCTCTAAAATATGGTGCCATCATTTTGTTCATTTTAATAGACGTTTTCTGGAACGTTAAATGGCGACAGTTCAAGGCACAATCTTCCTTTGAGAGGGAAAGAGTATCCTTTTGATAAGTTCTTCCATATGTTCATAGCATTCTCATTTTTGTGACGGCAAAATATTAAGCTGCCCCAAAAGTAAACTTCATTTTTTCAGATTTTTCGAGCTAAATTTCATATATCTCGGTCATTAGACCACGTACAGAGATAAAGTTTTCATGATTGTTATCATCAAGGTTTGCTGTATACAGCCACGTACGTGGGGAGAGTCTGCCATCATTGGGGCGATTTGCCTTTTTTCTATTTTTGTTTTTTTCTTGATTTCCAAGAGTGAAAAATTAAAAAAGTGCATTTTTGTACATGGCTGTGCATCCACTACATATTGACGAAGTTAGAGGTCGTGAGATTGTTTTGGACAAAAATTCGATTTTTTAGCATTTGAAAAGTTTTCAGATTTTGACTTCGAACTCTGTATAGATGAAACATTTTGCAAATGTCTGAATGTCATGATGTAAAGCTTGCTTTTCTCTATCCAATGATATGTCAAGTCTTGAGCATGATAAGTAGACTTTGATGTACTTAGGAAAGGAGACTTTTGGGACAACCTAATAATTCCACCAGTAATAACGAGCTAAGCATGTTCATTTAACTTTGTTATCTGTTATGCCTGTTAGATTCCTAAAATGGGATCCAGCCAAGGTCTTGAGCCCAACCTTTTGCATAACACATGCAGAATGTAAGTCCGCTTTGCAAAAGCACGAGATCAGATCAGATCAGCACAGAGTTTCCACATTCTACTCAATAAGTAGGAGATTGTTGTTCAGTAGCTCAAGGAGTATTTGTCATCTGAGACCATTATCATAGTAACCGACAAATTCGCGTATTCTTTTGCAAAAAGATTCCATCATTTCAAGGGTTACCGATCCCACATGAAAATTTTCTGGAACGGCTAGTTGTTTACTATTCTTATGTTGCTGAGCAGGGAATGATCAGAACTTAACCCAGCCATATCAGGCAAGCTATATATCA